CATAAAATTGATATATATATATATATATATATATATATATATATATATATATATATATATATATATATACAGTTTAGTTGTTTCCTTACTTCGTCAACATCCCTCAGAGCCGCCGTTTAAAAATTGAATGCAAGATGAAATATGTTTCACCTCGGGCCTCTTATTACGACCGAACTTGAAAGAAACTTAGTTCAGAAGTTGCCTAAGAATGGGCACTAACTAATGAGTCCCTTTTTCCGCGTACCCGAGACAAATAAACTCGAAGGCAAAAGTCGGAATTCATGAGAAACTTAACGGGAAACCGAAAGCATTGTTGTTTTGCTTTTTTGCCTTTTCGGTTGGAAATGAAACTTTTAATACAAAGCCCCCGCTGGTCGACGTGCAACCGCAAACTTTTGATATGGTATCAAAAACTTTTTGATATGCTAACAGCGTAAAAAAAATACCAAGAAACCTCCGTTTGTTTTCGTCAAATTTCGCGCGATTCTTTTCCCCGGAAACGCGGTTTAATAAAACAGGCCGGAATTAATATTCTTTAATGGTTTTAAACGCTGAAAAAGGCGATAATATTTCAAAGCGGAAACGTATTGCTTTGGTTTTCTGACGTTTAATCGATAGCCCGAGCCAAGGACTACGGATAATGGTTGGGTCAGAAGTGGGATGTTTTTTTTTAGCGCGGGCAACGCGCAGGATTCATCGATAATGGTTTATTTCAATTCGAAACCAAAATGGATTCGGGTTGTTGTCTTTTAATATTTTTTTAAGCGGCGGCGGGGGGCGGCAGCTGTTTGCGCATAAAAACCCAATTTAATTATTACAAATGTAGTCGGGAAAATTAAATTGTTTTATTTACGATGCGGTCACGTGCGTGTTTCAAAAAGCTGCCGGTAAATAATTGGGAGTGTGTATAAAATACGCGGCGCCTGTTAAGTTCGTTTGTTCCATGTATTTCGATATTCGACGGCCAAAAAGGTTTCGACGTTAAAATGGCGTCATAAATTACGTTCGTGGTAAAACTATTTTAACAACTAATAGTGAATCGTCAATTGCACACATCAGTAGTTAATTCTTGTACACTGAACTAACCCAAATGAGACCGAGGATTTCGGACTAGTTTTTCGAAAACAGCGAATCGCCGAAAAGAACCGCTCGCTGGTAATGTTTCCGGCGAGCGCCTGGACGAAGAATTTACGAAATAGCACACCAAACGATGCTGTGCGCCTTGAGACAGCCGTCATAAAACTAAGCTTTTTAATTTTTAAAGCAGCCCTATCTCGACTTGACAAGTTAATTGCAATGAAAAATGACCGACTATCTAAATATATTTCAAATTGAGCATCTCCATTTATTTAGCATGCTAGTCCCAAGGAAGTCTGCTAGAAACCCCAATTTCAAATTTGTCCAGACATTGATGCTAAATTCCTATTTTAGCAAAGCCCTCGTTTTTAGTTGTTCAAAATTTTGACTTTGACGGACGTTCAAGTCGTCTTTCAGCACCTAATCCACTATGAATCTCGCGTATAACTTCCCAGCATATCTTAAAAAAAATATATTATAAACTAATGCTCTATCAAGGCAAATGACCTCTGTTCTATTTGTAACTTGTTATGGAAAATCCGCCGGGGTGTAGGGGTTATGTCGGAGAGGTAGTACCTTTTGTTAGGGACGGTCACTCCAAGCGTCGTAAGACGGGCGGAGGTCTCAGACAACTGGTCCTCACGAGACACCCAACTCTCACTTATTGGCTCCAAGCGCCACACCCCGGCACACTGTGTTGACCCACAGACTAAACCAAGTGAAGGTAGCCAGATATGGTGAAACTGCAGCGTCTGACCCAGAATGGGCGGCTGCAAACAGCGTCTGTTCCCCATGTTAGGGGCGGCTGATAAAAAAAATCCAGGAAAGCAACGGGAAACTACCTGGATCATATATATTCCCCAAGACATCACAATGGATATACAAAAACAAGCAACGGCCCTCAGTCCCGGGCAGCCCTTAAGTGGGGAGAGGGTGCGAAGAATCCCCCAGTTTTCCAATGATGTCCTAAGAATAAACAAAGAGAAGAGAATTGGCACATGGAATGTGCAGAGCATGTACGAGGCTGGGAAGGCGGCAAATATAGTGAAAGAGGTGAAACGGCTACAAATCGACATACTGGGGTGCAGTGAAACACGATGGCCGGACTCGGGACACTGCACTATAGACGAACACCATATATATTTCTCCGGAGACCATACTACCAGAAATAGAAACGGAGTAGCAATAATCCTGAACAAGCAAACCAACGAAGCTGTAAAAGGATTTATCCCCATCTCGAGCAGAGTTGCACTGATAAAAATCATATCAAAACCATTCGATTTGAATATCATACAGTCATACGCACCTACGACCGAGAGCAGTGAACAAGAGATGGAAGAATTCTACGAACAGCTTAGAACTGCCCTCAAACATACGAGGAGAGAAGAAGTTAATATGATGTTGGGAGACATGAACGCCAAGGTTGGGCAAGGAAGGGTTGAGGATGTGGTAGGCGAATTCGGGCTGGGGGTGAGAAATGAGAGGGGAGAACGCTTAATAGAATTCTGCGAGGAAATGAACTTTACTATTATGAACACCTTTTTCAAACTGCCCTCGAGAAGACTGTACACCTGGAAATCCCCAGCGGATAGCAGCCACAGAATCATAAGAAACCAAATTGACTTTATAATGATAAACCGAAGATATCGCAACGCAGTTGTATCCTGTAAAACCTACCCAGGCGCAGACATACCGTCAGATCACAATCTGTTGTTGGCACGCACTAAACTCCGATTAAAGAAAATCGTCAAAAAAAGGTACTCAAGACGCACTAACGTACGGAAACTCCAACAAGAAAACAGACTACAGCGAACCAGAGATAAAATTAACAACGAACTAGGCAATATCTCACAAACAAGCAATCACGGAACAGACATAGAAGACCTTTGGAATAGAATAAAAACATCCATAGTCTCCGTCAGCAATCACGGAACAGACATAGAAGACCTTTGGAATAGAATAAAAACATCCATAGTCTCCGTCACGGAAGAAGAGCTGAGGCAGGATAAACAGGCGAAGAGACAGGAATGGATGACGGATGCTATACTGGAACTTATGGAAGAAAGGAGACAATATAGAAACAGGGATACGGAAAAATACCGAGAAGTGCATCGGAGAGTTCTGAGAAAGATCAAAGAGACCAAGGAACAGTGGCTGCAAGAAAAATGTGCTGAAATTGAGATACTGCAGGCAAAACACGATAGTTTTAACCTCCACAAGAAAATAAAAGAAGCAGCAGGACGATTCCAAAGACGGAATACAGGAGTTCTCCTCGACTCAGACAACAACACCATCACCGAAGTCGACAAAAAACTAGCAAGATGGAAAGAATATATGCAGAAACTCTTTGGAGAGGAAAACGTAGACAATGTGGCTGCAACGGTTAACACTGAAGGACCTACCATCACACAAGAAGAAGTGGAAGCAGCTATCAAAAGGTTAAAAAACAACAAAAGCCCTGGACCAGATCAAATACATGGAGAAGTCCTGAAGCTACTGGACTCCGAACAAATAAAACTGATAACCACCCTTTTTAACAAAATCTATATAGATGGCCAACTGCCAAAAGATTGGCTGATGTCAACATTTATCCCGCTACCCAAGAAAGCGAACGCAACTAAATGCTCAGAGTACAGAATTATAAGCCTGATGCGTCATGCTTTAAAGGCCTTCCTCAATATAATACAAGCACGAATTTACAAACGACTCGACGAGAACATAAGTGCTAATCAGTTTGGCTTCAGGAGAGGACTTGGCACTAGAGAAGCCTTGTTGGCCATACAAGTGCTGATCCAACGAGCACGGGACGTCAATACAGACGTTTTTACTTGTTTCATAGACTTCGAGGGGGCTTTCGACAGGGTTCGGCACGAGAATCAGGAATGGACAACAGAGACACGGAGATCCTAGCAAAACTATACTTACAACAAAAGGCTATGGTTCGAGTAGAAAACACAACGTCAGCAGAATTTAGCGTTGGAAGGGGAGTGCGCCAGGGCTGCATACTGTCGCCTCTCCTGTTTAACGTGTATTCAGAACATCTATTCAAGGAAGCATTGGATGATACAGAGGACGGACTTGTAGTAAATGGTCAAATTATAAACAACTTGAGATATGCGGATGATACCGTTCTTGTGGCCGACACTGCCGAGGGGCTTCAGAGACTTGTGGACCGAGTGGCGACTGCATGCGAACTGTAAAAAAACACAAATATTAATTATCAGTAAAAACGATATTGGAAACCTACAGTTTACTGCAAACAACGAAGCCATCAAAACAGCAGAGACAGTTACATACCTGGGCTGTACTTTGAACAAAGATTGGGACCACTCTCGAGAAATAAAGTGCCGAATCGAAAAAGCAAGAAGCACATTTAACAAAATGAGAAACATACTCTGTAACCTATCCCTCAGCATCCGCACTAGAATAAGGGTCCTGAACTGTTATGTTGTCTCGGTCCTCCTTTATGGGACAGAAGCATGGACCCTTACCGATGCCTCGTGCAAACGTATAGATGCCTTCGAGACGTGGTGCTACCGCCGCATCCTCAGAATTTCGTGGGTACATCATGTGACAAATAAAACGGTCATTGAGCGCATCGGAGGAGAAATGGAATTCCTAGCAAACATCAAACGCAGAAAACTGGAATACTTTGGACACATTATGCGCAATGAGAAATGCCACCTACTCCAACTCATCTTACAGGGGAAAATAGAGGGTCGACGATCGGCAGGACGCAGACGAATATCGTGGCTGCGGAACCTACGTGCATGGACTGGAATGACATCAACAGCCCTATTCAGATCCGCAGTAAACAAAGTAATATGGACCAACGTGATAGCCAACGTCCACAGAGGACCGGCACTTTAAGAAGAAGAAGATGGAAAATCGCTTGGATCAAGTAGAGAAACAAAAGGCACCTTTCTAGCGAACTTTATTAATTTAAAGCGTTTTTTATAAAATTTTCGAGAAACATTTTTTTTTGGGTAACTCGTTAAATTAGCTATACACATGAACATAAATACAACGTACAAAAATATCTCATGGCTTCCCTAATTTACAAAACATTATTCTATAATACTACAGCTTAACGGTTTTGCCAATATGTGTTAAATATACGCTTAACTACAGCAGATTCGCGAAAAAGTTCACATACTAACTTATCTACTGAACACAATCGACAACGTACGGTATTTTTTCTGGCACTTTAAATATCACGGCAACAATACAAACAATTTACCAAAGTTTCACACTAGAATAAACAAATGCAATAGGCTGACGAATATTTTTTTGCACATGCACGTAAAATCTAATGCACCATCAAAAACACAATGTCAAAGAATATCTAATGGCAGTAAGAGTAATCAAGACAGATTGGCAGTAATCGATTCTAAATAAAACCTACAACTTATGTTAAAAGGCACTTTTTAAAGTCAACTTTGTTCGATGCTACATCACTCGCTACGATATACCACTTTGCATTATGCAGTAATTTTAGAACGATAACGTATGAGTACATTTTTGTAAACGAAACTCTCTGAAATATCTACAATTTCAAACTTTTACCCTGGCGGTGAAAAGTTCTAACATAACGGGTTTCCATACTTCTGGAATATTAAGGGACTGTCGCCACAACTATTCTTCTGCTTTCCAAACAAACATTTCGTACTTATAGTTTATAGAAGTAAAAAAAGCAAATTAGAAATAGTTATTAGAATAAAATTTGTTTTCATTTTATCGCTTTTAGTTTTTTTATTTTGTTAATTTTGTCCATTGTTTGTAAATTTCCAAGTAATTCATATGTATATATAATTTTTTTTTATTTTCGCTTTATATGTGCCATTAATACACAAGAACTATGGCAACTCCAAACATATCTATAAGCAATAAACGGTGGTTATAGTAAATGTAAATATAATTAGAAATCTAATTATTATAAAATGATGCAGGTGAGGATTAAAATTTGCAAAACGCTGTTGATGTGTGAAAAAGCGTGTGATTTTTAGAAGAATTTTGTTTCGATTACCTAAAACGCGGAAACGCACCCTTACTCCGTGACGGCTATCTTTATTCTTAACGTCAACGGTTTGTCGTATTCGGTGTTATCTTGCGAGGGAGCATCGCCGTCGGGCCTGCCGTGCACCAAAAGGTCAAACGTTTCGGGCTGCTTGAGCCGCCTTCGGAAATGCAAAGCCCACACACCGTGGCGTTTCACGAGCTCAAATTTCTTGTGCTCATTGCCTTTGACTATGCTGTACGTCATCTCTCTCTGGAATAGGGACGTCAGGAGCGAAGACAAAAAAGGAAACCGCCACTCACCTTTACAGCTGGCTGAATCTTCACTATTCGTATTCTGTGGCGCGTCTGCGCCATTGACAGTTTCAAGTCGATCTCTTCTCCGTGGTGATGCCTACGGGTTCTCTTACGTTTAAACAAGCCTCTGACTGTGTCGTTCGTCGCGTGTCTTTGCAGACGATGTCTAGAGTCACGTCTGTGCCTCCCGTTAAGCTAAGTAACATTAGCACATTAACAGGGTGATCACTGTAAATAGTAATAATATTCGGCGTGGTTGTCAAGGGGTTATGTTGTATTGTTAAACTTTCTACGCGATAATGGGTCAATGGACCAATAGCAAGACTTCAAAGAAATTATGGGCAATCTTTATGAAACAAATTTTTTCGCGGCCACTGGGATTTTATAAGACAGTCGGAAAACGTTTAAACACACGTTGCGCCAAAATGTCACGATGTCGGAGGGAAAGCGAAAAAGAACGCGCAAGGGAGCGCAACGAAACAAAACTAATGAAAGGAGAAGGGCAATAAGTTCAAGCTGTTCGAAACAGAAATCATCCGTACCTAAGGGCGGCGTAAAAACCGAGCTCGGAGTTTTCTTGCCCACGATGTTTAGGGTATCGATTTTGCAATTAGAACGCGCGGAAGATCGGTAATATTTTATTTTACGGCTCGTTTTTTTCCGTGTCCGCGATAACGCGAATCAAAAAGGTCTCTTAGGTAAATGAGTATCGAGGACGGTAGAGCACGGTGAACCAGATTCACCGGAAAATATTTAAGAAGTCCCCAATTTTCTTTCGAAATTTAACAATTTTGTTGCACAATTTTTAGTATTTAAAGTCACCAGCATTTGTTTTCTCCGTCTACATGGTGACACGTATGTAAATACAATAAGATTTTTTTTGTATTAATAAAGATTTATAGGAAGTTGGGTAAAGTTTTCACTACGACAAATTTTAGTTGCAGTTTTGTATTTAACATTACCATGGCTGAAGCATTTAGGGATAAGTTTAAACTTTTTCAATATATTTTGCTTAGTTAGATTTAAGTTTGAATATTCTTTACAAAACAACAAACTTAAAATAAAACGAAAAAAATTTATTCTACTTAACTTCTAAAGGATTGTGTCTGGGAACCAAACTATCTTATCTACTTATTGTCCGCATATCGATTGTAATGAAACCTTCAATTCCGCTTATGTTCAATTTTTATTAAAACTCTAGTTTATAATTTTTTTTATCTTGTTACCAATCAAACGTATTTTGTTTGTGAAATAAGGATCACCTCAGAATTTCGTATTAATAATTGACGAATATTCTGTTGCAAATTTGACTTATTTTCAAATAAACTAGTCACATTTTAAATAAACTGAACTGAACTAAATTGATGTGGTAGATGAAGTAGGATACCCAAGAAGTTGCCTGTTTTTGACAATCTATAATTTCCACACTTCTTTGCCGATATTGGATTTTCGTCATTCATTATCTTTGGTTTACGATATGTGTGGCATTATCTTTTTCATTATGCAGGATATGAATATAACGCAGCAGAGAATTTCTTGCAAATTTCTTGTGAATCGTTACATCAACACCACGGTACATCATTTCGTTGGTATGAAAAAATGGTAAAGACGATTTACTTCATAAAGAATTTTACAGAGCTCCAGCATTTTGTCCCAATTTTTCACCAAGGATGATGCAAATATATGTCGTTCAAGTTGTTAGAACGAAATACAAACGTTTCTACTATAAATTAACTTAATGTTACCACCAGTGCTTCCAGTAAAATCAGACTAAAACAACTAAAATATTTTGGACATATCATGAGGAAAAGTCCGGACAATATGGAAAAACTCATTTCAAGGCAAGGTGGACGCAGACCACGTGGCCGCTGACGTTACGTTGCCACCGCACTTCTTAATGGGGGTCAGGATTGAAGAGAGAGACATTAATTACTAAGTAGCTTAATAAACAAAAAAAATTAAAATGAATATTTTACTTACCCTATGGACAAATAGGAAAACAACGTATTCTATTGAATTTTTTTTCCTTTTAAATGACCAATTTTGCATTTTTTCAATATTTTAAAGCGAATCTGACCCACCATACTGCCGCGAAATTTAACCAATATTTTATGAGGCAAAAGTCAATCTTTCGCATTGTCGAACAACGAAAGCCGATTTTTTATCCACTATTTGCACGCCAAAGATTGCTTTTGCCTCCGTCCAAATACGGGACAAAAAAAACGTGGAAATTTCCATTTACAGTCGAAGATGAGAGTCCTCCAGCCACAACGCCGGATGTCCTTATCGAATTGTAAATGAAATTTTCTATTTCGCGGATTTTCTAAAATTGCGCTATTTTTACCGTTATACCGAATAACGTTTTGCCCGTGAATTGCCGACTTTACGCTTTAACTGCCGAATCAATTTGTCAATTGTGGGTCCGCGTTATTGTCGCAACATTTGCCGCGCCAACGGTTTGCTTGGGTCTTTTTTTTATTTTCGGAGATATAAAAGCGAATTCAAGTATTGCGTAAAACGTTCACTTCGCCCGAATGAATTTTGTTTGGTCCATTCTTTTTCAGTGTAAATTTAAAATCTACTTCACGATTGCCACCATATACACACGAATTATAGATAAGCAGTTTTGACTGAACTTATCGATAAGAAAGGTGAAATGTCTGATCCTAATAATTACCAACCGGTATCAATTATCCCAATAGTTTCAAAAGTTTGAGTCAAATAACTTAATAAATCAAAAAAACTTTGGATTAAGAAAGGGGGGTTCCACTACCCAAGCACTATTACGTATAGTCGCTGCCATATTTGAGGACTTTGAGGGGGATGAGCATAGCACTTTAACGCTGTGTGACCTCGCTAAGGCCTTTGACTGTGTCAGTCATTCAATTTTCATGGAAAAACTGGAATTTTACGGTTTAAAACCCATTGCGCTAGAGATTTTATGCTTTTATCTCCCTAATAGAAAGAAAGCAGTTTTTTGCAGTAATAAAATGTCAAGATTGTAATGCACGGAGTTCCATGGGGATCCATTATTGTTTTTAGTTTATATTAATGATCTCTTTTGCCATATGGACCTTGTGGCTGCGGCTAACTTAGCAGATGACTCTACATTCAAAACATCAAACACAAATGTAGAAACGAAGTTGTTGGATGTGGTCCTGGATGATAGGCTGTCTTGGAAGGACCATATTGCTTTTTTATTCAATTTTGTCATATGCTGTTATACTGTGGGGAAACTCAATAGATAATATCCAACGTATGTCAACCGCTGTTTCAGATTCTTCGGGCTATGCCTCTGCCATCGATATACATGTATCACACGGTATCTGCGAAATCAAATCACAAACTTGATATTTCAAAAATTGAAAACCAAAATAAAATCTTCTTTTTTAACATTGTTTTTACTCTGTAGTGGTATACAAACCGAAGATAAAAGATTTCCCGATTCATGATGGCGGCCTTTTTTTCATTTTTATTCCTCTTTGTTTTTATATGATATTTTTTTCTTTTGTGCTTAGACATGTTGTAAGCATACTATGTATTGTAATTCAGTCAAATTAAAATCTATTTCTCTATCTGTATTTCTTTAAAAAAAGTTGCTAGAGAATCGATTCGGTATTGTAGAAAAAAATGGCAATGCCAGGTCGGCACTGTTGCTGTTTTTGATAATATTGAAGCCAATCAAAAGCTTATGAAAAGATTGCAAGTATCCAATGTGGCGTTTACTAGAACAACGAAAGAGAAAAATCCGTTCATAAGAAATCTTGTTCTTTAAAAAATCTTCTAAAACTCCCTAATCTTGTTCAAAATTCGCAACGCAATTGGTCCAAGTGAATGTCAAAAACATTTGTTTTATTTCAATATAAAAAAAAACAAAAATTTTACTATCAATTGTTTACCGTTCGTGTGTTAAAAAACCGAATTTCTGTATATATTTCACCCGCAAACTCCGTTATGCTGAAACCTAAGTTTATCTAGACAAACTTCGCATTACCTGCCTAATTTAGGCAAGGTCCAAAATTATTCGATATTTTATACTTGGTCTGTGCTATAGTTGTATTGTGTCTTTAATTGTAATTAGACGACTGTTTTGGTTAGTTTTGCATATGCAAATTTAAGTGAAATAAAGATATTCCTGGCAATAATTGAAGAAGTTGAAGAGGGTTACCAAAAAACAGCTCTTCGATGCCGACGTCTTAGACGTCACCACATCCAAAGCTACAAGGAAGGTTTTTCTTTTATCGAAGGCCTCTTGAAAATTAGTGCGCATAGTTCTTCATTTACAGAGCAAGGGTTTCCAAGATGTAACAGTACCAAAAAGTACACCACTAACTTTTGTAAATGTAAAAGATCGAAATTGTTATTCAATTTTTGTACTGTATACGGGTCTCTTTAAAATATGTGCTCTATAAAAAGTGTATCATTCAGAAATTCTATTTCTACCTCATATAGCTATAATAATAGAGTGACCCTACTACGGCTCCACCGCATTGATATTATCATAGAGAAGATAATGATTTTCCACGCATGCCTCCACATTTCATTCACTAACTTTACGCCATTTTCTCATTTAATGGGATGTAGGCATACTTTGAGAAAATTCTGCCGTAAAATTACCGCATCCAAACTTATTACAAGTGCTTAATAACTTATCTATAAGGGGTGAATGGTTTATTGGTTGAATGGACCATTTCAAATTATTTTTCAAAGTTGCTTTTTGAGTGACTGTATTATCGGCATACGCAGGGCCTCTTTACTAGCTATATGTTCTACGCAAAGAGATATTTCTGACTCTACCTCAATGTATTTTCCGTTATTTTATGAATATATATTTTATTTGTAAATGTTCTTTAAGAGGAAATAAACTATTAACACAAATTTCTTCTACTATCTCTCACCGCACTTGTACATAATCAGGTTACTTCAGAGTTTGCCTGCTATGTATCTGGCAAACTACAGAGCACCGAATTTTGGACTAAAGTAGGCTGTGAATGCGGAATTTGCCTAGGCAAACCCAAGTATGACTGCATAATGTACTTTGTCGGTAACATATATAAAGCTTTCATGACAATGGTGGAGGTGCATAGCGCAGAGCAAGTTAGATAAGTAAGCTGAAAGCGATAATTCAGTTTACTGTGCTTTATTTAAACCCCATAAACTCAATTCTTCTATTAAAATCAGGTGTTTGTACATATACCAAGAAGATGATTATATAAGCAGGCGTTTAAACGTCGTCTCTTCTCTGCTGCTGCTTCAAAGAATTCAATATCCAAGCTGCGCGATATAAAAACGCAAAAAATATTTTGCACTTTAAAATATCGTGAAAAAATGATCAAGTATGAAAAGACCGCAGATTATGCAGAAGTTAAACACAAATCAAAGAAAAATAGACTAATCTATCCTGTAGCAATTTGCTTATGATCAGAAAAATAACTGTCAATGCATTTAATGGCAATTATTGCTATAAAATTAGAAACAAAAATGATAATTACGCAATTATTGTTAGATGTTAGCGGAGTATTACGAAACACTAAAAACCATAAAACAACCTGTAAATCGAATTTTATTCCTGGACTATTTTAAAACGGCATCACATTCATCACCTTTCAGGAGCTGTATCACTTCTCAATTTTTTTATCAAAACTATAACAAATGAGTAAACGTCTTGTCAGATTTCCTTCCCCAACGTCATAAATCCGATTAATATCCTTACCTGACAGGAAAAGCATCCTTCCGTGGTAATTAATTTGTCGTTGGTGCCTCCAGCATAGCGCTCGTTTATGGGATACGTGGGAGCGTCGCCTATGTCGTAGCCGGCCAAAGCCGACGTGACAGTTGACAGGCAGTGTCCTTGGCCGATTCTCTGATAGCCCTGGGGACAACCGCAGGAGAATCCTGTGCCGAGACTTGTACAGCCGAAGGCGCACGGGGACCCCGTACATCCAGCGCTCACCTGAATCGTTTATTTATAAGATAACCACCCCCACGGTTGCGGTTATGAGGGTTGACAATCGACGTAATGTTTACCGCGGCGAAGTATAAAACGGTAACTGTCTGAAGCTCGAGAACTTGCGCAATAATTGATCGACTGTGACATGGTCGACAACAAAGGAAACTTTGTTGTCTTCCAATTTGCGGTTTGAGGCCGGGATCTGAGGTTTACGTTAACTAAAATTATTATTTCATTCCGCTTGTGCAGCTGCCGACATTTTGAAGTCGCACTAACCGTTTCTAGACCAATTAAAGGGTTGCTAATAGGTTCCGAACTTCTGCAGAGGAAAGTCGAGAAAATTAATAAAATTAAAAAAATCAAGTATGCTCTTAGCTTCAAGGCACAAAGTTAAGAATGTGCAGGGTGGCAGTTGTAGGCACCTGCAATTTATCTGCTTCCTGGGAGGTTTCTTACATCTCCTGTTGACTACGAACGCTGGTGAGGCTCCTAACACTGCCAAATTTTTGTTTTGTTTCGTATTCTTTTAATTTAGAGGGACAGAAAGAAAACTAAAACAAAGTCAAACGGTTTGTTTCCATCAAGAGGACTACATGTTTATCAGTGTTTTTGTTTACGACCCTTTTTCACTGATGATGCGTTGAAGTAAAAACTCATTTATTTTCATTAATCAACAGACATGTTCTCAATTTCCAGCCAATTGGCCAATTCCTTTATATTTTCATCGTTGGCTCCATGTGGAATCCACACAGTTTCTATATTCACGGAATGCATCTATTCATTTTCACATACCTTAATGTTTCAAAATAAGCAAACATTTTAATTGCTGATGTGCATTTTGATAAATTATTGAGAAACTCTGAAGATCTCCGCCAGTGGATTGAATAAAACAATTAAAATGTACAGAAGGTAAAGTACTTTATGTGTAGCAAATATTACTTTATGGCCAGAGCGCTCCCCATGTAAAGATATGTACTCTTGACGAAGTACAGTACCTTTTTCATGAAGAGTTTAGACGGTTCCTCGAGCTCAAAGAATTCAGCTCCTAGTACTTTCAATCTGCTGCCCCCTAATGGTGCGCAACTTGTTAGGAGATGAATAAATAAAACCGCTAATTTATAACAAAACGATTACCATACCAGTACGGTAAAATATTCGAATACAAATTAACAAATTGAAATAAAAGTCGACAACAAGAAACAACAAGAAAACAAAACTTTTTCGACTAAATACACTCTAGTGTTAACATAAGTTGACACCTTTTGAGTGGGACCCGTAAAACAAAACCTGCACCATCGCAAAGCATGAAAGTCTTCAAAAAGTTGGCGGAAAGTTGCAGTTTTCTTTTATTCAACACGAACTCGTGTTTTGTTTCTATGTGGTCCGTTTAGCGGAAAACCGACATAAGAAGGCAACTTCACTATCGTAAGGCTTGTCAACAACAACACACACCGCCGTATTTAGAAGAGCTGAAGCAGACGATTGAGAATAGAAGGAAATATAATTCATTCTTATTTTGATGTGATAAGAGTGAATTATTTTTAAATAGTAAAAATACTTTTTTACAGAAATCGGTAGCAAGACCTCGCCGCCAGTAAGGAAAAATAATGTCTGTTAAATAAAAAACGGCTCACCTGAATACAGATATTCAGTCTGGCGTCGAACTGATAGCCGTCGGGGCAACCGCACCTGTAACTTCCGGGGGTGTTGAAGCAATTTCCGCTCGTCCCGCAGGGGTTGCTCAAACATTCGTTGTTATCCACGCATTGATTGTAATACGGATGGAGGTAGTATCCGTCGGGACACCCGCATCGATAACCGCCGATTAGATTTTGGCAGCCTGCGAAAACGAACAAAAAAGGAGTTCTTTTCGCTCCCCCAGCAATACGTATCATAAAATGCGCTCTAAAGTGAGACTATATCGGGATTGAAGTGTTGTAGGAGATACCTTCTGGGCATTTGGAGTCATCGAGACATTCGTCAGCGTCTGTGCAGTAAGTTCCGGTTGAATCCAGTTTGAACCTGCGCGGGCAGATACATCTGAAGCTCCCCAGAGTGTTGACGCATCGACCGGGTTTAGGGCAATAGTTTGCCTTGTCGCACTCGTTGATATCTAGATGTAACCAAATCGTAAGTAATCGTTATAATTGACCATGCTCCTGATCAGATAAATTAGTTGTTTGTTTTCACATATACTTTTCAATTGTTTGAAGTTTTGGGCTCTTCTATTCAGTTTTTTGCTTTGTGGTTTGTCGACTATTGTCAGCGTTGTGCTTAGATTATAATAGAGACTTATCGAGAACGTTATAAAAATAAGCTAACAAAAGTGCAAATATACAATAAAAATGATAAAGTAGCGGACACCAAGAGGGGCTTCGGGAAAACTGCTTTTCCAACTTTGCTGTTATCGCATTCTACCTCGGTTGCCGGTAATAGTTGAATTTAACTTAAAACTTTTGAAACTATATATAACTACATATGTGGAAATAAGAAATATAATGTATAGTTGTATAATAATATTATACAAATTTAAGTTTATATGTACTACTTTTTTATTTGTTCAGTAGCTTAAAAAAGTGTTTATAGCATTTAATTTACATTTACATAAATATTGATACAAATTGTCAGAGCTATAAATCATGTTTATCTAATAGGTGGTAAAAAAATTGTGGGTGATTTTAATACTGATTGATTAGTTCGCACAATATTTTTACATGGTATTCCTAAATATCATGTATAAACGAAAGGAGGTGACTCCCGAGTTGCGTTATTTCTGAGATTCAGGGTGTTAACAAACAGTTTAACAACAATGCACGCCACTGATATTTTTTGTCATTTCTGTTTTTTTTTTAAATTAAGTAACCTACAGCACAATTTGTCTCTTTAAGTTCTTTGCCAAAAAAAATACAAGGATGTGCTTAAAGTGGTTTGTATGTTTTGTTGTCAATAAAAGTCGTATATATAAAAAATGCCAAGAGGACCAAAAAGGTTCTAAACGAGTTAGGAAAATGATTTCAGGAGGCATGACCTTTGAAAAAATCAAACCCTGTAGATTCTCACACCCTTTTGATATGTTTAAATTTTCAAGAATGGCAGGAATTATAAAGAAAAGATTTTAGAAAATCGAAAATTGAAACACTATAGATCGGTAACGAAACAATTGCGGAGCTATAATTAATTGAAATTTTAGTCATAGTATAACCCAAATAAATCACCCTGAATTTATGAAAATAGTTATTTCATAAATTTATCTGAGAATTGTATTTTTGATTTTTAATTAATTAATTTTTAATCCACCCTGTCTTAACATGACATATTTGACAGAACGATAACCTTAGCTAACATTGTTAATGAATGTGGCACACCATAACAGATCAGCTTACTCACAATTACTATGCGAGAATAACATAAACATATTGCTTTACTTATAACGCATGAGAAACAAAATGCTGGCAAAAAATTCAAATATGGATCGCCTATATATAAACGAAAAATTAATAACCTCTTTTTTGATATTGCCTCCATTCTTCTGGACATACTACAAATGAAATTCCTAAGGCGGAGCACGAAATAAAATTCCTACCCAGAGTATTACTGATTCGCCGCAGAGAGGAATCCTTCGTTAATAAAGTTAATGACTTTCAGTTTTGAATAATCGTGTACCCCAAACACCTCCCACTAAAGACAATGATGAAAAAATATATAAATTTACGGCTCGTACCGTCCATTTTGAGCGGGGGAGGTCTTCGAAGCACCTTCGTCCGAAACCTAAAGTCGAAACGTAACAAACAATTTTTCAAACCCCCAACAAAATGTAAGAGCCGGGGTCCGCCGTTTGTTATTCATATCACACACGCATTACATTCGAGACATTGAAAACCCATTTTTCCCATCTGTCTAAATAAAACAAACGATCGGCAAAAAGGGACCGACCCGCGGGCTACGGCCCCGAAAAAAAAATACCTTCACATTTGTCGCCGATCTGATTGTATCCCTTTTCGCAGGAACATTTGTAGCTTCCCTGGGTATTTATACAGATTTGTTGACAGATGTGCTGGCCGGTGGCGCACTCGTCCAAGTCCCGACATGTAAGCCCGTCAGCGTTTAACAAGAAACCCGCAGGACAAGAACAAATAAAGCTCCCTTCGGTATTCTGGCAGTTGTATTGGCAGTGGGATGTGTTCTCCACGCACTCGTTGACGTCTAAACATTCCCGGATAATAAATAATAGTATCGACACGAAATGCCAACGTTTCGACGGTTTATTACGTCATCCTCAACGCACAGCGGCTGGTACACTGACGTTGCATTAATAAAATCTCTAACAACTATATTAATACACAGTTTTACTAAATCTTGTATATTACAATTGCACAATCGCCACGGAATTGTTGAAATATTTATATTTTTTCTTTGGTCGAAGAGAATTTTTTATTATATCTATTTTGTCTCCGAACATAGTTTAAATTGTAATTAATTTATTAGAAATTTCGTGAATGTTAAGTTAATATTTTACTAATCTTGGTGAAAAATTAATTATTCTTCGTATTCATCTGAGGTTGTAAATCGAAACAGAGACCAATTGGTTTTGCTTGACCCATTCCACAAAATCTACTCTAGATGGACTTTTTTGAGTCACAAGTACAACACACAAGTTAATTACAAAAAAAATTGGATAGATAAAATAACGGTTGTTGTTGAATCGAACTTGTAGGCTTCTTCAAAGTTTAACTGAAACAGATTCCCTTAGGTCCTGAAGAAGCCAACAGGATGATTGGCGAAACGTTAGCGAGTTCGACTCAACAATAACCGACTTAATTAACCTACCTACTCAAATTAGCAAACTAAGAAATTAGTAAATTTTTAAACTGTGCTTATTAAGCTCACGACTTACCGGCGCAGTAGAGTCCGGAGCCGTCCGATTTATAACCCTTGTTGCATATGCACCGATACGATCCAAGAGTGTTTATGCACTGACCGTTTCTGCACAAGTCCGGTATCGTTTCACATTCATTGACATCTATAAATTAGCTCGTTAGATCAATCAATAATGATGTGGGTAACGTACCTTGACCGTTGATGAGGAATCCGCTATCCAGACAGAGTTCCTGGTATTCCGGCGAGAACCTGGAAGGGCATAGCTCGCATTGGGGTCCCCAGGCTTCGCCCATCGAACAGCAGCAGTCCGCTTTCGTGGATTTCTTTATAAACTCGCGGTTTTGGGTAGTGCAACGGCCGTTGACAAGGTGACGATAACAGAAACCTTGACGGTGATCTACAGGCACATGTTATTTACATTGAACCAAAGCATAATGATTACTACTCATGATAAACTACTCGTTCTTATCTACGAACCAGAACGGCCTAAATTTCTTCTAGGAAAACATAGGAATCGCCTAAAAAATGCTTACATCATTTTTCCACTGTTGAATAGTTGACAAGTAATGTGTAAACAATATGCAAATGTACACGATATATTCATAGTAATACATTTCATTGATCTCCTTTTTAATATTAAATTAAACTTCTTAAGTCGAAATATCAACAGCAGAAGGAAGAAGGGATCTCGGTTTCAATTTTTAGACACTTTTAGGGCGCCCATTGACATGTTGTCTCAGGAACTTAAAAAAAGATGTCTTTAAAAGAGAAATATTTAAAAATTTAACATTTTGTATTAGTCCCTTAATTAAAAAAACAAAAGCAACAATTGCTAAAAAATAAATTGTTCTTTATTGTCCAGCACAATTCAACAAAATACAAAACAACACATTTTTTTTACTAAATAAACTAAAAAATAGATCAGTTTATTATTTTACAAGTAAAACAGGCAATGTTTTTCATTTTAAACTGAGAAAATATAAACTATTTATTAAAATTATAACTAACTAATAGAATAAATAAATAGAAAAATATAATAATTATGAATTAAACAAATGGGTTTGAATTATGGACTTTTGTTGATTTTCGAAGCATTCAAATTTGCTTTTTAGTACTACATGTATTTTTATTTTTATTTATTTATTTTTTAATACTGTTCTGTAGTTGATAAATACTGTTCTGATAAGAAGGTACGAAGGTACTGTACGACCAAAAATATAGTGCATTTATTGCATTGACGTTTTAAGTATTTTACAATACCTTAACCGAGTTTCGCAAGACGGTGGTAAAACCCATCCCAACAGATATTTTTCTGCATTAAGTAGGTCTTGCCTGAGATGGACAGTAACGAATATTTGTAAAAACTTAAAATTTTTATTTGAAACGTAAATGGACTGTTTTAAATTTGAATAAGCATTGATGCTGCAGGGTATTTTCGAATAAATAGAAGCCTTTAATAATTTAACATCAGATGATATGTATCGTTGTTAACAGTTTAATCTAAATTGCAATATGTTCGGATATATTTGAATGTGACCCTTTCAGTAAAAACGTATTGATGTACCTCACTCTCGAGCTTTGATCCTGCAAGGCTGTTTTCACTGGATAGTTCAAAAGGCAAGGGTAAGTACCTCTACTCTATTTATCTTACAGGTAAGTTTGAAAATAATCATTTTTGTCTTGTGTGCCTGTAGATTAAAAACATTCTTCTTCTTGTATTTTTGTGTATCCTACATAGTTGTTCGAATTGTAAACAACAACAGTCTTTTTAAGACTATAGGTTATAAAAAGGTACGTCATAAAAAAACAGATAAATATTTATTAGAATCTTACAATTAAACACTTTTTGAAGGTTTCTGTTTTTTAACATTTTAAAATGTGGAAACCGTGGAATGAAACAGATGTTCCCCTGTTAGAAGGCATGGAAAACAACGCAGAATTTGAAGACGAAGTGGAGATGGTTTTCGGATGCTAAACAAATAGTTTTGAAAGTTTACAATTTTACAAGAAATTTAGAAGGCGAAGTAGGAGCAGCAATAAAAACAAGTGACATAGAACGTAATAAATTGTTACTTTGTAATAATTTTTTTATGTACATGTTTCAAGAATTGCTCGAAAGACAAATATTGAAAACATACTTATATCCCGCTTGTTAGTGTAGGTAGATAAATTCCTAGGACGGTCCTGGAATGGTTACGGGTAGGTCTGCTCAGCAGGGTGTTCTATAAGGGGCGGCGGCTTTGGAGTAATAAGCAAAGTTAATGACGGGGTCGGTTGTAAAAGCAATATAATTCTGGTCTTAATTTATAAATGATTTTCTCAGTGCACCTATTTATCATTATCATTTGAGGCTTCGAATTATTAAACAGCAACAGCATTATTTAGATCAACAGGACAAGCAGGAGGGCTTTGTGTGTGTCAATTCTAAACAACTTACAAAATTTTTTTACCTATGACAGTATGAACAAATAATAACAGAAAAATGTCACACTTTCGCCTGAAAACCATCTAGGCACCTTCGGTAGTAATGTATCCGATCTTTAACATCTAAATTACGGGGAAAAAAACGGGACCAGAACTTAAAGTATTGAACCTCAACATTTCTCTTGTCTAGAGCTGGAGCTACATATGAAGAAGAATAAGACTGGCTGAAAAAGCAAAGCGTACGACTTTCTTACATCTAGAAACGGCAGAAACGAGCATAGTTAAACCAGTAGACGGCAAAAAAATTGACGTATTCAAATGTAGTGCTGGAGGGGCATGTTCTGAATTTTATGAACAGCACGCAGATCGACCCCCAGGCGATCTTTGCGGAATTGAATATTTAGTATATAACTCTGCCCCATTTATGTCGCCAACAATATGAGTTTTCTTTCGCACATTGCTTAATGTTGATAGTTTTAGGAAATGTAGCGACGAAGCTCCAACAGTGTGCATGACCTTGATAAACTGATAAAAGTTTGTAAAATGTTACATATGGTCGATTCTTATGTATGGATGCGAAACATGGACGCTTAATAAAGAGATGCTCAATAAGATCGAAACATTTGAAATGTGAACACACACGAGAACGCTTAAAATATCCTGGACCACAAGAAGCAGAAATGAAGAAGTTCTTCGAAGAATGGGACACAACAGACTACTTCTGAATATTATCAAGCGATGAACACTTGAATACCTAGACCATATAATTAGAGGACATCGATATGACTTTCTTCGACAATTAACGGAAAAATAGAAGGAAAAAAGTGGGGACCGAGGATGGCGTTAGAGCTGCCAACTCGACTTGCAGGAGGTTGTGGGTTCGATTCCCACCGGGTGCCTTGTAATCGTTAAAAATTCATTTATAAGTTATAACTTACTTGTAAGCTGGCCGAATTGCGTTATGAAGCAATGGTCAAATAAAGCGTAATTTAAAAAAAAGGAGAAGAGGGATTTGGGCGTAAGAGGCTTTCATGGCTAAGAGACCAGAGATATTGGAGAGGCGTTAACGCAGATGAATTACTCCATGTAGCACAAAATCGGGAAAGATATTGCGACATCGTGAGCATGGCAGTCGTCAACGTTTATGACACTTGAAGGAAGAGATGTCAAGATTTTCAGTAATGAGACAACTACCAGAAAGAGAGGGATCTAGTTATCAAATTGGCTGGATATTAATGTGTTGTCTTGAAACCATTCGGTAAATCATTCGTTGAAGTTCGGCCACGACGTGCCCGATATAATACGAAAAGTGTAAAAAAAAACGTTGAAAATGCGTCAAAACTACACCAGCAGCGCAGAGAGCAATACGAGAAGCGTCCCGGGATCACGTTTAATCTCTGCACTCTATTAGGGTCGCGTACGACAGCAGACACCCTTTGGAAAACGGATTCCCGCGGGGAACCGCACGCCCACAATAACGTAATATATAGAGCCACTTACCGATACACCTTTTCCCATCGTCGCTGTGTTCGAATCCGTCATAGCAGTCGCATCTGAAGGATCCTTGTAGATTAATACATCGTCCGTTTTGGCACAGATCGGGATCGTTCTCGCATTCGTCTATATCCCGACAGTCGTCTCCGTAACCCACTTGACTGAAACCCTCAGGGCAAATGCACATAAAGGAGCCGACGAGGTTTTTGCACATAAATCGGCAATTGTTTGCCGGGGTGTTACACTCGTCGACGTCTGAAAATTTACACCGCCCAACGATAGATAAATTACCCTCGTTTTGTTCTGTTTCTGTTTAGATGTATTATTCCCGTCGTTGAGGGGTGAAAATGAAAAATTCAGCTCGATTTGCGGGGCAGGGGGAATAGCGACTATCGATTTGACATGGCCGACTCGTTTTTCATTTCTGATTGCAATCAAAGACGTTACATATTAAGGAGAGCCAATAAGGCGATGATACTGACGGGGTCATTCGCCCATTAGAAGTATACGGGGAATGGATAAACATTGGGTTGCGGCCGTAGGAGGCGATGATCTCAATTTTAAAAATATTTGGAACACTACAGCGTTGTCGCATAAACTCGAACCACACAGCAACTTCATTTTTTTAATGCAATATATATATATATATATATATATATATATATATATATATATATATATATATATATATATATATATATATCCATCCGTGAATCAATACGTGAGAATATATATATATATATATATATATATATATATATATATATATATATATATATATATATATATATATATATATATATATATATATATATATATATATATATATATATATATATATATATATATATATATATATATATAATTACATTTTTAGATCCTATGAAAAATTGTAAAACGGTTTATCAAGATAAAAATAATTTTTTAGAAAGGTTTCGAAGAATACATGAAAAGAATTATCTCAACATTTTTAGTTGAAAAATCTATAGTTTTTTACAGCCATATGATGCAATAATAATAATAATAGTCTTTAATGAGATATTTTAAATTATTGCACAAGATCTAGACAAGCTTAAATAATCATAGGAATCTAAAAATTCATTACTGGTAAAAAATGAAATCTATTTTTTTCCTAAATACTAGAACTATATAGAAAATATTTGTTATAATTATTATAAAGCTTAATGGCAATGGCTAAAGCAGGGTTCAAATTTACAAGAATTATGCTGGGGCATATCGTAGTTAGATACGCATTGTAAATTTCACGCCGAAACACTAGACAATCTTTCAGGTACGTTGGTAAAGAATATTTTATAACTTTAAATACAACTACGTATTGCGAGTAGAAATTGAAACAGGTATTTAGTTTTGAGCCATTTCAACGTAAATATTTTTTCTGATATAAGATAAAACTTCCTCAAACCATGAACGAATCGGACACAGTTGTTCTGGAGTTTTTTAACTGAACTTATCGGTAACGGTTAAGAATGGATAGCATAATGGAAGACAGTATATAACTTTAGAAAGAATACATACAGAGAATTTTTTTCGTGCTCTAAAATTCAATATATATTTATTTGCATATAGCGTTTCGAGGGATATATAAGTCTTGTGAAAGTAAATGAAATGAGATTCGAGCTATCGCATCCCAGTGTTTACAAATTTATGCATTTTTTGCAAAATATGTATAAATATAAATTAAGCGTGAATTTTAAATGAACTCTGTGTATTTTACTGCAGCAATAAAAAGAATATTCATTACTAATTTAAAAGTATTTAAAATGTGCAATACCTATTTTCAGCCATTTTGGAATTAAAAGTAAAAAACTAGAACAATAGAGATCATATTCTCCTCTCGTCGAAAGCCAATTTTTAAATGCCCATACTCTATATACTTCACTGTGAGTTTTTTGCCAAATAACTTTTCGATATTTTTCCACCCAACCCTGCTTTCAAGTCGAATTTTTCAAATTAGTCCCCTTGACACAAAAAAAACTACTATTATAAATACAAACTTTCCGATATTAGGTATACTGTATTGCAAAAGTTTGAGTTTTTCGGAATTCAGATGTGAATTATAACCAAGCGTCGTTTTCTTGAGATTTTTAACGTTGTATCGTCGCTTTTGGCAGTTCACAATATGCTGATATTGAATGGTTCAATAGACTCACTGAAATCGATCCTACCAGTTATCGCTTTAGGTAGAATGCATTCTGTAGCTAAAAGAGTAGGAACGCAATACTTATCTTACCAGGGCATCATTAAAATTACGTCAAAAAATTGAGCCAAAATGTATTTTTGTTTTAACTCTTCTTATATGCATTTTCGCTGCATATTGCTGTTTATTTTTCTTACAACAATTTAGTCATAAAATGTAAAACTCCTTTATGTTTTTTGAATTGAACCACATTTCTACGAACATTTAAAATTATACGTCTGACGGATCCCTGTAAGTATTACAATTAAATGTCGAGAGATTTATACAACCTGCAATAAATTCTACTAGTAATAAAATAATAAAAATGATTTAAATTGGCATTGTATTAATTACTAATTCGTTATTACTTCCATTGAGAACAGGGATATACTCAATACTTAATTACCTTGACAGTGGCGTCCATCTGGAGCCAAAGCGTAGCCGTAGGGGCAGATGCACCTGAAAGATCCGGGCACGTTGTGGCACCTGAAGGCACATTGATTGCCCAACTCTTGGCACTCGTTGATATCTTCGCATATCTTTAATAAAATGTACGTTAATTAAGCGTAAGTGTATCGCCATTGACCTGCTTTACCTGCATTGGTCCAGATGCGAACCCATCATTGCAACTACACTCGAACCCTCCGATCACGTTGTTGCAAGTCCCGTTACCGCAAACGTTGGGGTTCGTAACGCATTCGTTTTCGTCGACGCATTTCTTACTCGTCTCGTCCAGTGTGTACCCATTTTGACAGCTGCAGCGGAAAGAACCGTCCGTGTTTACGCATTCACCACCGTCACAGATATTCGGCATCAACTCGCACTCGTTCAAGTCGCTGCCGGTATCCATCCTGCCTGGACCTTCGGGACACATCTTCAAGAAATCGGCTGAAATATTAGTACTCTTAAACCCTTTAACCCACCTTCAAACGAAAAAGATGTAAAGGGCTATTCACGGTGAGTGTCCTGTTAAACGAAGATTAACTTGGGGTAATAACCTGAAATGTTGGTTACTTATATAAGCGAATATAAGCTATTTATGCAAAATATTTTTGGCCATGCGGTGTTGCCAGGTATACTCGTAATGTCAACTTTCGTTTTTTAAATAGAACATCCTGTATATAATTACATTTAAAGATTCCGCGAAATATTGTGGACCTTTTTATGTAACATGTACCACACCTATGTTGAACATTTTCGGAGAAAAAAAAATGATTTTTAAGAAATTTAGCAACAAACAATATATACGATACGATATAAAATAATAATTTTTTTCGCAACCCGTACATCTAAACACTTGAATTTTTGGTTGCGGTTCCCTATTAAATTGCTTTATCGTAATATATTACGAGAATGAACTTATCGCGTACAGGGCGTTCATAAGATAAGGCCAAATTGGCAAGATACAAAAAATCCATGATACGTGGAAATTTTAAATAATATTTTATATTTGGACGTAAATCAGATATTAATTTTAAAGCGAATTAAAGCAATCACATTTCATCTGGGTAGGAGGGTTAAGAGAGCCATGGTGACGTTTTTTGTAAACAAATTTGTCTTCGACCTAAATAAGCTTAATATTCCGTTATTAGCGTGTTCAAACTAGTAATTGTAAGAATGAAACTGGAAGGAAATACATATGCCCACAAAAATTTAATATTCATAGAAACTGTTATACACAAAACTAATGTTGAAGACTAATAAACGAGTGTAAACTGTTTTTAATTACATTCAACTAGATATGACCACCATCTCGGACATCCATGGATTGACTTCATAACATTGGAAATTGTTGCCCTTTGAATGTAGCTTTTTATCAAGTTGTTGAAAAGTCTGTCTGACACGGCATTCCAAGTCTTCGATTGTTCCAACTGGAGTTTTATATATTCTTTCTTTAATAGCTCCCCAAAGGTAGGCATCAACCGGGGTAATATTTGGCGAACGCGATGGCCAATTCCACGGAGTTAGACATCCATCGGTTTTCAAACATGATTGTAAGGTCTTGACTTACTCTATTTGTGCAATGAGCCTGACCTTCATCAAATTGATACCAACATCTGCGATGTAACGATATAACAAACTATCTAACAAATCTGTAGCTACTGTTCGTCAAATATTCAGAGCCTGTTACCCAGATGAAATGTGATTACTTTAATTCGGTGTAAATGTAATATTTTGTTTTTTTGCTGATAACTCAAGAATCAGTGAAAATGGATATACCATAGTTTGGTACTTTTGGTTAGCTTTAGTTAGTTGGGTTGGCAAATTAATAGCTTATTTATGTGCTAATGTAAAATATGGGATATTCGATTTAAAATTCTCATGGATTTTTATATCTTCCCAATTAGGCCTTACCTTATGAACGCACTGTACGCAATAACTCATACTATATTATGATAAGGCAATCTAATAGGAACCGCAAACAAAAATTCAAGTATTTAACTGTACTGGTTGAGACCAAAATTATTATTTTATATCGGGTTGTTTGTTGCCAAACTTCATAAAAGTGTTTCTTTTTATCTCGGAAAATGTTCAAGATATGTATAGTACATGTTACATAAAAAAGTTCGAGAATGTCTCGCGGACTCTAAAAATGTAATAATATAGAGAGTGTTTCATTTAAATAATGAAAGTTAATAGTATATTTGGCAACACCGCGCGCCCAAAATATTTTACATATGTAGCTTATATTCGCTTATATAAGTAACCAACATTTCAGGTTTTACCGGAAGTCATACTCCATAAACGCTAAATAGGTCACTCAACGTGAATAACCCTGTATATTATACTATTTCTTGTAATAATTACTATTAAAATTTCCTTAAAGCATAAGTTGCGAAATTATTCCTATATGAAATTAATCTTTTTTGCGTGGACTCTATTCGTCGTATATGGTTAGAATATTCCCTATCTCTTACAATATATCTATCCTACATTGTCGTACTTGCTAGTATAGTCTAATCTAATCCTGCAGTTTAATAGAGACCGTTGTAGTTACTCTCAGAGATATGGTGACATACGTGATCCTTCTGGCGGACACCTCTCGCAGTATCTACCCCAGGCCGCTCCTTTAGAGCAGCAGCACTCTTTGGCGGTGATCTGCATCCCCCTCGGTTCTACGCACTGCCCTCTCGTATACGCGTCGTAGCACTGGTCTTGTCTCACGTCTGTACACTTCATGGTGTGCTGCTCCAGCACAAAACCGTCGGGACAAGTGCAGAAAGCGCCCCCATCCGTATTGGTGCAAATACCGTTTTCACATATGCCGGGGTTAACCACACACTCGTCTATATCTTCGCAGATACCCGTAACAGCACTCAGCTCGTAGCCCTCCGGGCACGTGCAGATATACGAACCCATCACGTTCGTGCACTTGCCAGGCGGAGGACATGTACCGGGTACCTAAATGTTTGAAGAAGTGACGAAATAAAGAAGAATTGAGACCAAAATCTCCGGAAGCCAATATAAAATTCATAGATAGTTATAATTTGACAAAAAATGGCTGTAAATTTGATGGCCAAAATTTCTCACTCACCTCGTGGCACTCATCGATATCTCGGCAGTTGTGTCTATCCGGTGTGAGCATATAGCCGCTAGTGCACTCGCAGCTAAACGATCCCAGATTATTCCTACAACGCCCGTTGCGACACAAGAACGGCATCATGTGGCACTCGTCAATGTCGACGCAATCGTTCTGGTTGCTGAGTTTGAAGCCCACGTTGCAATGGCATTTGTAATTGCCGACCATATTGATGCAGCTTCCGTTGTTGCAGATGTTGGGATGTCGCACGCACTCGTCTATGTCCAGACAGGTGTCTCTGGACGGCGTCAACAGGTACCCGGTATCGCAGATACACTGAAAGCTGCCCTGCAGGTTTTTGCACTCGCCATTTTGGCAGACGTGCGGTCGTTCTATGCATTCGTTGATATCCACGCAGTCCATGTAAGTCGAGCCGTGCTTGTAACCTTCCGGACATTGACATTCGAAGCTACCTGGAAGGTTCACGCACTGCGCGTTGCCTTCGCAGGGATTGCGGGAACATTCGTTGTCATCGATGCACTGATGCGAATTCTCGTCGTAAATATAACCCCTGTTACACATGCATTCGAAGCTACCCGGCGTGTTCATACACTGGCCGTGTTTGCACATTGAGGGCATCAACTCGCATTCGTTTATCTCGGAGGTTTTGTTCGTCATGGGGTTGATGTATTGTCCAGGCCGCGGTCCACATAAGGAAATATATTCATCTGGAATAAAGAGCTGTGAAACGAGTGTAGGAGTAGGACGGAATGTGGCGATAGGAACTGAACTGGTAATTTATACCTACTAGTGCCTGGGCTTGGACAAGGCTCGCAAGGTTGCCCCCACGCCTGCCCCATCGAGCAGCAGCACACCTTCTTCGTTTGGTTCTGAGTCATCGGAGTCGAACACTGCCATCTGCTATATTTTAGATAGCAGAGATCTTTTCGCATGTCCACGCATTCCCCTAATTCAAGCAGATATATTTAAATGTAAACACAAAACATGAATAGAATTTAAATTTAGTTATTAATTGAAAGGAACCATGTAATGACAAAGAAGAAATAACAAATGGAGATTAACTTACTCCTTCCCGGTAGAGGCATGTAACCTTCCGGACACTGGCAGTAATATTTTCCAGGCTCGTTTACGCATTCCCCCACCCTGCAAATATACGGTGTCTCTTCGCATTCGTTAACATCTACGCAAGTGAATCCGGTGTCGTCCAATCTGAAGCCCTCATTGCATGAGCACATAAAGCTACCAAACGTGTTCGTGCAGTGGCCGTTCTCGCATATGTTTTCGTGTTCCTCGCACTCATTTATGTCCTCTAGAACCACCTTTAAAGTGCACTTAGACTCTGCTAAAATTGCCCTCGCCAATTACTTACGGTAATGTCGTTCGGTTTGTACCCCAAACCTCCCGGACAAAGCTGCTGATACTCATCACTGTTTGGGGATGGACAGAGATCGCATCTAGGACCCCAAGCCCTACCGACTGAGCAGCAACAAGCTGCCTTGGTAACGTAGTCTGCCGTGGGGAGATCGCACCTTCCTGGACCTTCGACCTGGAGGTAACATCTGGAAGTCCTCCGATCTGAAAACAAAACTAAGCTAACAAAAAATTTGTGGCTCCTAGTTTGGGTGCAACCTATGCAAGCGTTGCCTTCGGATACCAGCTCATAATTCGGTGGACACAAACATTTGAAACTACCCTGGGTGTTGGAGCAGTCGCCGTATAGGCACGATTGAGGACTCTCGCATTCGTCGATATCGGTGCAGTTGCCTCCCGATCCGTCCAGCTTATAACCTTCGTGGCACTCACATCGGAACATTCCGAGAGTGTTCTCGCAGGTTCCGAACACGCATAAGTTATTAAACATGTCGCATTCGTTTATATCTAAAAGGGGAGGCCAGTAGCTAATTTTATTGACGTCTGGTAATCTACTTACCGACACAGGCTTGTTCGTTGCCATCAGTAGGATGCATGAAACCCATCTCGCACTCGCACCGAAAAGAACCTGGATAATTCAGACACTGTCCGTTCTCGCATAAACTCGGATCGTTGGTACACTCGTCAATGTCCGTGCACGTGTAACCGTCTCCTCTGAAGCCTGAGTCACACTCGCATCGAAAGGAACCATCGTTGTTAATACACTGGGCGTTCTGGTCGCACCCGCCGTTATTCGTGAGGCATTCGTTTATATCTCTGCAGCTTACTCCGTTGCCGGTGAAACCGTCCAAACATCGACATTGATAGGAGCCCTGGAAAAGTGTATTACATTTTTGTCTACCTTGACCAGAAGCATTGGCATACAGGATTGTTAATGCAGTCGGCATTTTCGTCGCAATTGTAGGTTCCTAAATAACATTCGTCGTCATCCGTGCACTGTGGGCCACCATCGGGCTTCACAGAATACCCTTCCTCGCATCGACACTGGAAAGAACCCAAAGTGTTCGAGCATTCACCAGCTCCGCATATATTGGGATTCTGCTTGCATTCATCGATATCTAAAACAGTGACCTATAGCTATAGAGTCTCAGCTCAGGTGGTAGATAGTAGAGGTAGTACCAGGCTCTTTAAAGGGTTCTTAATGCGCCCTACATTTAGGTTTTATGTGACTTCTAAATAATTACATAAAAAATAGTATGACGCAATATTTACCAGCACAGGATGTCCCAGAAGCACCGGCGAGCAATCCATCAGAACAGTGACAAATATAGCTACCGATCGTATTGGTACATTTGCCCCCATTACAAATTCGAGGGTTCTCCTTGCACTCATCTATATCGGAACAGCTTTTCCCGTCTAAATTAAGTTGGTAGCCGGTTCTAAAAATTGTACGTCTTTAAATGATCCCAATAAAATTACCTCTGTCGTCATACCCACAAGAACAAGAGAAACTTCCAGGTGTGTTTAGGCACAAATCGTCGCAGGGCTCGAATTCGCACTCGTCAATATCTGAAACGGACCACTGCTTACGAATTTAGGTGGTATAAACGTCTCGGTTACCTTCGCAGTGAGATTTTTGATCCGCTTGCTGGTATCCTTCGTTGCAAATGCACTGGTATGTACCCATCATATTTTCGCAGACCCCATTTGAGCATATCCCGCTCGTTCTTGAACATTCGTCGATATCTTTGCAAGATTGCTTGTCTGAAGCTAACTCGTGACCGAGTGGACACTCACACTTATACGAGCCTTCTGTGTTGATGCATCTCCCTCCCCTACAAAGACCAGGAATTTCGTCGCACTCGTTGATGTCCACACAAGTTTGCATCGGGGCCATAGTTTTGTAACCTTCGATACATTCGCAGTAGAAATCTCCTGGTATATTTTTACATGTGCCTTTGCCGCACACGTTGGTGGTCGTGATGCTACACTCGTCGATGTCTGCAATATTAATTTTATTGAACGGAGAGCGAGTAGTGCACGAAAACGGGATCACCTATGCACTTAATTCTGTTGTCATCGTAATCGTAACCTTTGTTACACCTACAGCTGTAGCCGCCGATGGTATTCCGGCACCTCCCATTTTGGCACATTCCGGGAAACTCCGTGCATTCGTTGATATCCTTTCTGTCGATGAAACCCATACCCTTTGGACAAAGTTCGGTGTACGCTGCGGTGCCTAGTCTCGGACAGGGTTCGCATTTGTCACCCCAAGCCTTTCCTATAGAGGAGCAACAGCACAAGTCTTTATGGAAGCGACCGTCAATAGAGTTCGTGCATTTTCCGTGCTTGTATCTGGTGAAGCACTGTTCTTCCCTCATATCCAAACATTGAGTCCCTAAAATAAGCATTTGATCATAGGTTCAGAAATATAATTGACATTTTTACTGGTTTCATCTAGAGTCAATCCCGAAGGACAAGTACAGGTAAAACTCCCATCGGTGTTGACGCATATTCCTCCACCTCGACATATATCGGGATTTAAGTCGCACTCGTTGATGTCACTACAAGATTTGCCATCGATCTTCGCGTATCCCTTGGGACACTCGCACTCGTTTCTGTTACACCGTTCGCAAGGTGAACCCCAAGCAACTCCTATGGAGCAGCAGCACTCCTGTCTCTTGCTTAATTGCGGCAAGTTGTTCTCGCAACGACCGTGGTTAAGTCTCGTCCAGCAAGATCCTTTCCGATTATCTATGCAAACTCGTCCAGTGTTATCCAAAATAGACCCAGGATCGCACTCGCACTTGTAAGATCCTAAAGTATTAACACATTCCCCATTGAAGCACGCTTCGGGGCCCAGTTCTTTACATTCATCGACGTCTTCGCAGACGAACATGCTGGGGTTCAATTGAGTACCCGTCGGGCAAATGCACTGAAAGCTGCCGGGGGTGTTTTTGCACTGTCCACCACCGCACATCTGCAAAAGCAAACTGATATTTCATAATTCGTAGCAGTTTAAGTAAGCTGAGAAAAAGCGAGATAGGAATGTGACTCTTACCACTTCATCCTCGGCGCATTCATTGATGTCGGTACATATCTTTCCGGATTCGTCCACTTCGTAGCCCGGATTGCATATACACCGATAAGTTCCGAGCATATTTTCACAAGCACCGTTCTGGCATATGTTCGGATTCTGCGCGCATTCATTGATATCCTTGCCATCGAACGTAGATCCAGGTCCAAACGGACAAAGTAGGTCGAAATCTGTAGTTCCAGGCATCGGACAAGGCTGACACGTCTGCCCCCAAGCCATCGGTTTGCCAGTGATAATGGTACAGCAACAACAGCTGGACTTGGTGACCGCGGTAGTTGACGGATTGAAGCATTGACCTTCACGATACTCTTGGTAGCAAAGATCTCGCCTCGTATCTAAGCACGATCTTCCGTCGGGGCCTAAACTGAATCCAAAATGGCACTCGCACCTGAAGCTCCCCGGAGTGTTATAGCATGTGCCAAATTGGCAAGGGTTGCTGATGCATTCATCAATGTCGATGCAGTGTCTTCCGTCAGGTCCGAGACGATACCCCGAATCGCAAACACATCTAAATGACCCTTCCATGTTGATGCACTTTCCGTGGTCACACATACCTTCCAACCATACCGCAGTCAGTGAACAGACTTCGTTGATTATATGTTTAACTCACCGGTTGTCGAACATTCATCCATGTCACTACAGAAAGTTCTATCATTCGATTCGACGAATCCGGGCAAGCAGACACAGGTGTAAGAACCAGGCGCGTTTTCGCATCTACCATTCAAACAAATTCTGGGATTTTCGTAACATTCATCGATATCTATAAGTTAATTAGCGTAATTATAGAATACGTTCATTTAAAATAATCACTAACCCACGCACGCGAAACCGGTTGGGCTCAGCTTGAAACCGTTCTTGCACTGGCACTTGAAGCTGCCATCCATGTTGATGCAGATACCGTTGGTGCACATACCGATTTCCGCGCACTCATCGTGATCGGTGCACATGGTTCCATCTGGAGAAACGTCGAATCCAGGAGGACACAAGCAGTTAAACCCTCCAAGAGTGTTGATGCACCGTCCGTTCACACATTTGCCTTCGCTGCACTCATCGATATCTGAAAGAGAAGCGAAGTTCAAGAATACATGACGAGAAAGCGTTTCTAAATCATAGAGTAATTGAATAAATAGAGCATCACTGGCCTTCACACACTTGTGATTTTCCTTTTCGATATCCGGCATCGCAGACGCACTCGTATCCCTCTGGCAAGTCAACGCACTTTCCTCGCCCGCAGATGTCTGGTCGTAACATGCATTCATCCACCAATGTAGTGGTCAGAACCTTAGTTTTTTGTTCGGGCCTACGGCTATCGAAAATCGTGATGTTCGGGCCTGTTCTGTCTTCTATATGGTACGAAGTTACTGCTGCGCAAAGTCTTCGATGTTCGTCTGCAAGAAAAATATATTTTCACTATTCCGCTCTAAATGAATAAGACTTCAACTTTTACCTGTGCCGTATTGAGGACAAGCAGTGCAATCATCTCCCCAACCTTGTCCCACGTGTTGACCGCAACAGCAGTCCTTCTTTGAGAGCCTATATTGCAGTTCGTCGCTACAGTAGCCCTGAGGGGAACGGAATGTGTAACACACGCCCTGCCTGCCATCTATAATTTAGATCACGTCAGTATCTATCTACAACCGTCAAGATCATTGCTTACCAATACAAAATCTTTTATCTTGGCTTTGTATAAATCCCGGATTGCACAAGCAAAAGAATCCACCCACGGTATTAACACAAGCTCCGTCCTGACAAATACCTTCGTCTTCGCATTCGTTCCTGTCGTCGCACCTGTTTGTTTGTGGGTTTCTTGCTTGACCTTCGGGACACTCACAAGTAAAAGACCCTACGCTGTTGATGCACTGACCGCCAACGCACAAGTGTGGAATTGCTTCACATTCATTGATATCTACAAGCAGAATACGTTATTACAAGTACACTCGGTTGAAGTAAGATGCGGATTGAAAAACGTACCAACGCATTCGTTAGTTTTTTGATTCTTCAAGAATCCGATATCACATTCCAGCCTGGATGGACAGTGTTCGCAAGGATGGCCCCAAGCTTTACCCACGGTGGCACAACAGAGAGTCTTGGTACATACCACTCCTTCCAATTGATTCACGCATAAAGGTCCTCTTATCCCAGTATAGCACGGCCCAGTACGGTAGTCTACCGAAACCGACGTGTTTTAATGAAAACGAACAATTCTTCGGTATGAGTTACCTACCTATTTCGCAATGGTTGCCCGCGAAACCATAGATACAAGCGCATCTATCGGGTCCTATGCATCTGCCTCCATTTTTACACATCTCTTCGCATATCGCTAAAACCTCCAGTTGATAACCACTAGTTCACTACAAGCTAAAACCATACGTACGTTCTATGCAGAATTCTCCCGTATATCCTGCAGCACAACTGCATCGTCCATCCACACAGGTGCCTCCATTCATGCAAATCGCTTTACACGGTCTGCCCTCTCCTAAAAGTAATCATACATAAATATAGGCGGTCCATATTTCGATGCTGAACACTCGCCTAAGGATTGCTTGTAGCTTTGAGTGCAGCTAGAAGCCTTTTGACCTCCCTCGCAAAGACAGACGTTAGGGGAAACGCACTGCCCACTTCCGCACGGTCTCGAACATACAGCTAAAAGTTACAGTAGCTTCAGTGCAGTCTTTACTAGAGTACCACTTTCGAATTTGATTTTTTTTTAGAGTTTTTTTCCCAGGTCGAATCTTTCGTTTTATATTGATATCAGTAAACCTTAACAAAGATTTTAGAAAAGTCGAATTCAAAAATGGTTTTACATAAGATATCAATATGTTATTATTATGCAATTATCTTACAAAATATTTTAAATGTTTAAGATGCATATTTCATTGTTTTACTTGTTTAAAGAGCTCATTATGCTCACATGAGTTGTAATTAATACATCACTGACTGAAAATTTTGCAATTTTTAGAAATTTTGTTTCAACTATAAAAATAAGCAAATCATTGAATGTTTAAAATGTTCTTGATGCGGAAGCTCAACGAAATTGAATCAATGTTATTTCAATTTATCGTAAGTGTGGAGCAAGAACTTACGGATGATGCATAGTCCTAAAAGTGTATGCCTTTGCCATCCTGGACAACAGTAGATCCTCGTCCTTGTTCGACATACATTAGGGCTGCAAGACAAGAAAATATAGATTTTGCATTAAAATATACTCTTGAAGCAGAATATAGGTATTTATAATAATCCATGAACTGTCAAATTTTCTAAATGTTCCTAATACTAAGAAATTATTTTTTTGTTTTGTTTTCATTTCAATTGGTTCATTTAAGCAACTCTGTGTATTGCAGAGTGAACTATAATAAATAAATAAATAACTTCTCAAAAATCTTAAATAAAATGATGAATGAATGAATTTTTAGAAGAAGAGGCAATTTTACATAGCTGAAAATATGTTAGGTGAATAAAGGACCAAAAACCATAGAGAATAGATCTGTATAAGGCCAGACACCCTGTATATATGTTATTTATGTTCTCTATAACTACCAAAGCAAACTTTCTAGCAGTTATTTGATATATCGGTTTTTAATTAAATTTATTTTGATAAGTAAATTACTGCACCTGAAATCTTCAATTTCGGGCTAATTAATTAAGTCGATCAAACTGTAATTCCCTTAATCAAATAATTACTGAGCCAAATCTAATTTCACGCGTTTGAGCTCAATTTAAAACGTAACTAGATATACTGTTTGTTTATGGCGCCATAAAATATTTTACGATGCAATAAAACAATCGCTGAAACCGAGACTGATATATGACGCGTTGGTTTTAAATCCAGCTTGATGTCGAACACAAACGCTATATGTTTTATATAAAAAAAATAAAACAAATAGGAGTAAAATTAAAAAAATTAAAGCAAATTCTCGATTGCTTTATCTGTTGCGATCAATGTCAGCTCCAGTCGAGATTCTCATTGAAACGCGTTAAAACGTCAGTCAGGTAAAAACAGTAGTCCAAAGATACAATCTCGCGCATATATCGCATAAACGCAGTGTTGGACTAATAGGAATTCTGTTCCACGGCTTCCTTTTAGAGAACCGAACGGATGCGAATGTTGTCTGTTCCACGGCAACATTGATACGTTCATAATTGGTACAGCCACACAGACTCTGATCTGGTAATTATACTAATAGGGTCGGTGTCTATGTGCTTACATGGGCATTTTGGCGGTATAGCCAGTAGCGTTGTTCAGTTCATTTGCACTTACCAAAGACAAAAATCGACACACAATATAAATTTGCATTTTGTGTATATCAATCTTTTAAGGAAACTTTTAAAATTTAATGATCTTCCTAGGTCCCCATTTTATGTTTGCTATATCGGGGTGGTTCTGCAAAAATGTCGAAAGAAAGTTTTATTATTTTAACTTTCTTGACTGAATAATTCTAGTCTATTATTAATATTACTACCATTGATACAAAACCGATAAAAACATGACATGTTTGTATGAATTTTTGTACTTTGGTCGGGCAACATGCCCTTAAATTTAGCTTATATTTTTAAGTAACACCAACGAAAACGCTGAAAGGGCGTCAAAATTTTCTGAAAACCATATCAGAATTTCTTGAAAATAAGTATATTGTTTTACCCTATTGTTTAGATAAATCCGTGAGTTACGATTAAAACATAAGGAAGATCTGAAAGAGGAAAGAAAATAATGAAAAAACAATATTTAACAATAACAATTTTGGTCAAGTCAAATGTTGGAATGTTTTAATGTTTTGGTCTCCAGTACCTGCAGTTTAAAGATTTCCTATTTTTATGAATCACCCTGTATATCTGATAGTTTTTTTGAATAAAGCAATAATAATGAACTTATATGATCTTAATATTGTAGCCATATATTTAGTTGTTTTAGATTGTTAGGTAGTATGAAGGTGCCATTACGAGTACTAGAAGCTCAATTCAATGAGCCTGAGGAAATATATAAAATGCGTTTGTACTTCCTACGGATGTTCTAGGGGACGAAGGACAAACGTGCAGTTATAGTGGATAGTTTGTTTAATATAGGGTAGTTTAGTAGTCAATATTTCCGATTATCGCGTTCAGTTTTTCTTGAAATGGTGACAATAGTTTCGAATAGACTACCTAATATCAATTTAATATGTTAACTTATGTTTTATTTACACTCAGCATCATAATATTGAACGCAATTATAGTGCCGATTCAATTACCGAATGAACGTAGTCAACGCGATCATTTTAAACAATTTCGTGTACGCAATAATTATCATTCACAGATGTTACTGACCCGTATGGAATATGGCGCGATAATTAATCGTACACTAGAATGAGGAATTCCCTGCAGCTGCTCCCCTGTATTTCCGTATATGAACTATTTAGATGGCGCCGGCGCGTGCGGTCACATTGAATTTAGCAATTAATAATAACCAATTTCACGATTTAATCCGTTCCGATGCTCTGTGGTCTAATTTCGCAAAAAAATGCCATAAAGGATTTTGTAAGAAATTCAAAATAAAAAATACAGATCCAAAATTCTAATTTTTCATGTCTTGTTTTCCTGCGACATTATAAAACTTTTATATTTACCACCATTATTCAGGGAAAATTGAAAATAAGGCCCACTAGATTAAAATACAAACCTTTTAATTTTCATTAATTAGGTTTATTTTACTAATTAATTATTATCATTATCGATCGGTATTATTACAAAATTTCAAATGCCATACGTAATACAGGGTAAATCAAACTTTAAACCTAATAAAAATTAAATCTAATCAATGCTTACGCATCTAAATCAATTTAATGTTATTAGTATTATATATGTTAACATTAAACTTGATATCCTGGAAGAAATTGTCATCACTTTTCATAGTGTCGCAATAATATTTTAAAATATTGCTATATGTATTTCTAAGCATATCAATTTTTTTTATTAATCTCTTTTAATACTATTTACGTCAAAAATCTATAATTGTTGCTAATTATATGAAACCGGACTGTTCCCTGATCTTACCTTACCCGTACCTGCAATACCTAGTGTCAGTGAGAGGCAAATAAACAGAAAATTGCATTTTTTACATATAAGTCTCAATTAATTACTAATTGTTCGAATATAATTTTTGATTACAAAATGTCATATGCAAAATTTATTAATAATATTCCAAAAACTGGTGTAAATTCGCAAAGCACAAATATGGTTTATTCCCAATAATTAAGTATGGACATTTTACATTTGAAAATTGTGTATTACTGAACACGGAATTTTGAGGAACATATTTCATCATAACTAAAATTAAAGTTTATTGCAACGCATCAGAGTTCCACCTTACTATGTTTAGGTGTATTGGATGATGTTATGCTTGCCTAATTTCTAAACGCCCTAAGGCCCAACTGCTGGAATTACCATACAAAAAATGTCCTATTTAGACAAGCAACATTTGGTCAGCCTCATACTCAATAAATTCATTCCATAAGTTCCCAAAATCAATGTTAGTCAAGTCGAGACCCAATTTAAAATCTGTTTAATGAGGTACACTGGAGCTGCTCCATTTGACGAATATGACATGGATAATCAGAGATAATAATCGATGTTTTATGGATATCACGTTTTGAATATCTAATAACAAATTATTGTTAAAAGTGAAGCCGCTCTCAGTAAACAGACCAACCTGCGTTTAGTGAAGGCGGTGAAACGAGATATTTAGGCATTTTGAGATTAATAAAAAAGTTGCAGTTAAAATATAAGTAATCTAACCTGATTCTAACCCTTGCGGTAAAAGAACATACCTCACCAATAATCATCCAAATTCTCTTAGCTTTGACGTATCTCTCTTAACACACAAATTGCTAGTTGTTTAGAGTCCTAGCTATAGGTTTGGTATAAGAGCAGTCAGCATTCCTGCACTGCTGTTATTGTTATTCTTATGTAAAATTGCACTTTTGTAATTATCCGGCGAAATCCGTCCACTGTGGGATGGTTTGACCTGGACGGGCATCTTAAAGGTTGGACGGACTTCTTATTGGAGGAAAAATAAACGCGAGAGTGGGCGCGCGTCGCCGTTGTGGATATTTACATGTAAGTAGGATAATGCCATTAGGAACTAATCGGTATTCCAGCGGTAATCGCGTAATTATCGACAAAATCACTTATCAGTTGCTCCGCGTGGTGCACAACAAACACTCTTAATTCCGTGCCCGTAGCAGATAAGAATGGCTGAAAGTGCGGCGCACTGTCAATTACGGTCGTAGGGAATTAATGGAAGTTGATTAGGAGGACGGTCTTAAATTTCCAACAACAACTAATAAGCCTCAATTAGCCCGTTTAACGCTTGGCATTTGAAAGGCTCTCGCTCATAATTCAATTAAAACTTCTTAGTGGCTTCTTAATGGTTTTGCGGTACGAACTTGTCGGGATGATAAGCGAGATACACCTACCTAACCGCGATCTTATTAAGCATATATGATCGTTACATTTCGATGCCTTAATAAAATACTCAAAATCGAACTCCCTTTTATTTTTATTAACCTTTGAATATGTGCCAATTTGAAATTTTGGCAATACGGTAAATCTATATTACCTTTAAGGCTCTTAAAATATTCTTTAATTAATTTAATTTTTTCCTATGAACAATTTAATTAGAAAAACTTTTTTTCCTATTGATTTTGGAAAATATTTTTTATTAATCGTCAATACGTTTTCTTCAAGGAATTTGAGAAGAGCGTAAAAATTACGGTCGTATATCATTTTTAAATTACCTGCATGGTCCGTCAGCTTTCGGCCTATAAATTAAATAACGTTTAATTAATTTAAGTCCCTTTTGGTGTTGACACACCTTTTTGAGCACGGCGGTGGTCCAGTCTCGGAAGAGAATTTCCAATAAAGAAAAATATGTTCCTATCAACCACGAAATATCTGATGTCAGAAACCTGAACATAAGAGTGCAGCATCATTTCAATTTTCGCATTAACAAGAGGTCAAAAAATTCTCAAACCATAAAAGTAACCTTAATAAAAATCGTTTTGCATAGAAAATATTTAAAATTTATTTTTCATTCAATCAATAATAATTTTCGATATTGTAAAAAATAGAGGTAAGTATTCTTGAGCAAAAATCATATCTTTTTGACAACACTCGCATGTGATTTATATTTGC